ATATACTATGAAAAACATAGTTTCATTTTAAATATGTACCTGCGAACATTTCTGATATAATTAATATTTATTTGCAATTAAATTTTTTTATAAGTATAATTGCGTAAAATATTTTTTAAGATTGTAGGATGTCTAAAATCTAACTTAAGTGATGAGATCTTTCAGATGTTGACTTGTTTTTCAATATCAAGATTAACTTTAATGATAAACAAAGCATATTGATAAACTAATTTTATTTTTGATACTGCAAAAGCTCGTGTTATTAAAGTTACAAGGAATCTTATGCCTTTGCTATTTTTGAAGACGGGCGTTTCGAACAATACAACGGAATTGAAAAAGGAAGGAAGTTTCAAGGCTTTTAATGTATCAGACATTTTAAAAATGCTTTATTTTACTTCCAAGATTATTATAAAATGTACCTAAGTGTATGTTTATAATATGAAACATATTTTTATACCAAAGAGTTTTAATATATCTCACATTTTGACTGCCGGTAATCACAGTTGCTGGAAAGTAGCCGAAACGTCTGGTGCATATACATAGTTTTTTTGACAAAAATAAAGCTCGCGTAGTATGTCCGAGAATTAGTTTCATTCAAAAGGTTTAATATACGTTATTTACATATATTTGTAACAGAGTCGATGTGATAGATTGTAAGGAGAAGTAAACTTCTTTCCGATGTCCATAAAGAAAGCTGAACGTGTCATAGTGTCGGTAGGGAGGTGTTACATTGCCTGTTATTTGAGTTCACTCGCTTATATTTTACCTCTGTTCCAAGGGGATGGATTCAGGACTGTAGCCCTTAATTGTATTCCAATAAGGTCCATGTTCCAGCTTAATGGATACACCATGACGGTGTTGTGTCTAGGTTTTGTCACTCGCAACGGATGTTCATTGTGGCGAAATATAAAACACAGCTCCGTAACTTGGAGTTGAAATGTTCGTTACAGATACCTTGGAAGTGGCAATTCCGTGATTTTCAAACGATCCTAAGATTTACTTGTAAAGACTCCGCTCGTGAATATAAATTAGCTCTTTGAACTGTATTGTCGTTGTAAATTGGATTTCATTTTTGGCTATTTGATTTCATAGAGAGAATTAATAACCGTTATGTTTTTTTAAGTTTATTTATATAAAAGTATCGCGGTATATATTTGTTTAATTAAAAGCGTTTTATTTTCTACTTATATTTGTTTTTTATTTATATACGTCTTTATGTATAATTTCCATGCTGTATGTACCTAACACAATTAATATAATGCCATCAAAGGACATGTAGTATCCGCTATGAAATCTCTACCACGATTGCGCGTTCAATCGCCGGCGCTAACTTTATTTCCATCAGAAGGTCCCAACATTCACAGTTCGTTGCGATCAAAATTGAACCTAATTATATATATAGAAGGTGTATAATATTTTGTTGATGGTTCGAGATGTTGTTTTCGGGGTTTTTTCACTGAGAGCAGGTTTCCGCGCCACCCTGACTCCCGCTCGCCTACCTCACCAGAGTCGCGCATTCCTGACGCGTTAGTCACCACCGTCGGTCCACTTGTTTATATTAGTGACTATTACGACTGTAATCCGCGAATACCCGGCAAATTGCTTCCATTGCACTTATTATTCATTATTTTCTTGTACACGTATGCATTCCTCGTCCTCGGCCGCGGCGTTTCAAAGCGACGCTCGCGTCTTTTTTTCGCCTCTCGATGTAGCCGGAGCTCTATAACACACTCAAAGTCCACACTCGTCTCGTTACGCGTTCCCAGCGAACACGTTTCATTAAAGGACTTACTTTTATGGAGCATTCATAACTTACTAGATATTATAACGATAACCACCTTCAACCCGCCGCGGCCGTGTGAAGGACAATTTTTTAATACTCTTTCAACCATTGATGAGAATTTTGATTAATAATAAAATTAATTATCTCGTATATGAATGTTGTTAAATTATGATTGATAACTAATGAACTTGTTACGTGTGTAGTAGACACCAGGCAGTATCCTGTAATAACATCAAAGGAAATGTCTTTAAGGTGACCTGACGTCGTGTGACTATTTTTTATCGAGAGAATCAACAAACGATATTATAAATTAGGCTCATATCTCCAGCGGTGACAGGCTTTGAAGGGATGGGAACGACCCGCTGTATGTGTGCTGTTTGCTTTATAATATGTATAATTTTTATTAATATTCCTAGCGGCTGACGGTCGGCCATTTTGTTTTAATTGTCACATGGAATATGATTAATTTTTATGGAGTTAAAATGTTTTTTTTTTATGAATGTAACCTCATGATTCATATTGATGTTAACCTAAATTGACACAGAGAGAACAAAAGAGTACATCATGGGAGCTCATCGTCCACCGTACGTAGATAAATTAAATGACATAAGATTTTTCATAAATGAAACCCGAACGGGGAAAGCGAAAAAATTCTATTCTTCATTCCCTTTGTCTGATATTTCTTTGCACGATATTAATGATTTGGAATTATAACAATAGGACGTTTATTTCTCTCAACTGGTCCACGCCACGGCGTCTCTAATCACTATAGAAAGGACCTGTTTTAGTATTTAAGTATTTATTATTGAGGCCACTGCTTTTTGTATATTTAAAATATGCGTATATAAATATTAAGATATATTCTTCTGTAGGTAAATTATTTAAAAAGGCGATTAAAGGTTTATGATAGTTGACATACAAAAAAGTAGTGAAAATAAAATAATTTTTCATACTATAATTCCAACTTTATAAAAAAAACGTGTATAGTAAGTAGGTTTCAGAGAGGAAACACATGAACTAAATAACTAACATGACCACACAGAAATGTTTAGTTTATACTTTCTAATACTCATAGATTGCAACAATAATTGCGATTTATCTTCATAATAAAATTAAAAACTTAACAATAATCATATATTCAAATTAACTATAATATTTTTTAACTCACTAACACCTCTATTTTTTATCTCCTGAATCTATCATTGTCAATGCTATAAACATTATTTTCAGTGTTATAAATTAAATAACGTGAACATCCATCCCGTTTTAATCCTATAGGAGAGCCTGTAAAATTGGTCCAGGTAATATTTCAAAGTATTAATAAACCTCAGTGAATGATGACGCAGCTATCAAACCGTATAAAACCGTTACATTTTGATTTTTCATGCTTTTTTTTTGTAATATTTTTTGTCTCATCGTTAGCTTGTGTTGACAGACGTGACACGCCTCGACATATATCGGGCCAGTTTTCACGTAAACCTCAAACGTTAATTGATTTAGCAATATTTGTTTAGCAAAGATATTATCTTCGTCTAATTGTATATAATATTATCATTTCAGACGCGACCCAGTACGTCCTGGATCCGTACATGATTAGTATTAAACAGAATAGAACAATGCATAGTTGGACGTATAAATAACAAGTAACGTAATAATACAATGACTCATCTCAAATAACATTCATAGCTGAATAAAAAACTATTTCATTGTAAACTGCCACAGTCGCCAACAATAACTCCGACCTTACATCTTACGATTTTTCAATTTTATTCGTGTAATTTCCTGTCGCTGATGCAAAAAAAATATTCCACCGCCAAAGCTCATATATTGTATGCAATAAATGGTATAAAATGAATGTGGCGCCTTCCGTTAGTCTTTTGGAAGGTGCTCGGCGCGAAATATTTGTCAATAATAAATGAGACGTCCCTTTTATTACGGCAACATTCATAGCTAATGTATGACGCTGTTTAAAACATGATGCAACAATTATAAAGCGGTAGCGTTCATACAGGCTCCATATCAGTTAAAACATTCAAAATATATTAATATATTTGTATCTGTATATGTATGGACTTAGCTATTATAAAAATAAGTTAGTTGTTTCGTTTTGTTTGAGTTAATAATGTAAGTAACCGTAGAATCGCTACATGTTTCAACTTGTCCTACCCTAGAGCCGGTGGGCAACAATAGCGTCGCGGGCGGCGACCCAAAGAGCCTGCCTGAATGAATCTACCTGGTTTATCTATCGGGTGATAAATTAAAAATATGGCGTTTCACGGCATTCATCATCCGAATGGGTCATTTCTGTGCCTACAAAAACTGTTAAGTATTATACGATTGTTTTCACTACTACCGAGAACTTTTAACTCAAATGCCAGGAATGTAAACCGAATTAAATAGTAAGGTGTGATATGCCACCCAACGGTGACAATGTTTCAGTGAATTCCTTTCAAATATTAACATTAAATGTATCGTAAATTGTTGAAACTAGTTTGTTGAGAAACGCAATTTCTAAAACGATTTGATACATTGAATTGCATTGACACTCCTACTCTGTCGTTCAAAGTAAGATTGACTTGTATCAAATCTATATTTATAACTTTTACATTTAAAAAAAGAATACTAACTTTTTATTGCATAAAATTTTACAGCCAATGTGATGGAACGGAATAAAAATAAATAAATAAATATATATCGTTATTTGAACGCGTTTTATTCTCTTGTTAACAAGTGATATAAAAATGTTTTGCATATCAAATGAACAGTTGTCATGCGGCATGTAGTTGGTGCAATTTTGCGTGTTGACTGTGGTTACTGGTTAGTGAGTTTAGCGAAGTTTTGTTACCGACTGTCTCGCTGGTCGGTTCAATAGCAGTGCGCGCGCATCACCGCATACCAACTGAAGTAGCACGTACCTAGTACGACGACAACCTTATTTATACTATACACACTCCTATTCCCACTATAATAGCCCCTAATAAACCCTTAACGTAATACTCGAAGTAAGAATTGCTTGTAGAGTCACGTTGTCGTAAGTTGCATCGCGTTCAACTAAAGTTGTAGCGAAATTTTGCAACTATTTTCGTCACTACCTAATGTCATATAACGCAGCGAAACCGATAATTAATGTTAGAAAAAGAAAATCGAAAACTGGAAGACGGAGCAGTAACATTATTTTATTTCTGTTTCTAATTTAACGACGATATCTGTGGCGGCGATGTTAGTCCGTGCCGTGTCGCCACTCGCCAGTACGGGAAGGCGCTCCGATGCGGGTGCACGTGCGTTCACCGGTATACATTGTTCGCGCGTTCGCGAGTACACACTTCGCTAACAGACGCGCTTGATATTAGTAATAAAAACAATTTTTATTCTGTGTTACCTGTGACCATGAAGGTTTTAGTGGTGCTGTCAATTTTCTTTGCTTGCGTGTCGGCGACCGCCGCTGCAGCCGCTTCTTGTGCCGGCGCCGAGCAGTTCTTCGCTCGTCACAACGCATCAGCTGATGATAGTGATGAGCCAGGTGTGAATAAATAATCGTAAACAAACTTTACGTTTACTCCAGGATACCGGTTTAAATAAATTTAGTTACTGCACTTTATAACATTGCATGTACATTTGTTGGCAGTAAAATAAAGAATTTATGTGACATCGCCTAGGAAACAGTCTTACGTACTTTAGAGAAATAAAATAGATGAGGAAAATTACGCAGAGGTATGGACTAGACGCTTGCAAGATTGTAAATTGTTAAATTTATAGGACGTTGGTATTAAATCTTATCGGCAATATAACTTAGAGAAACTTCTCAATGAGATTTCTGCCTTTGCTTTATAGATTTCGACACACACATTTTGTAACATAGATGGTCAATTAAACTCTTACAATGGTTTGAGATAGCATCAGCATATTTTTATTACTACGGAAATAAACGTTTGACTATTTTCATATTTCCATGCCATTAACCTATTATGTTTTGTTAATGTTAAAAGGTTAATTGATCCGTTTACGTGGAGGGTGTAATTTACAAGAGTGTATCAGATGACGTTTGGCGGCGCACGCGTCCGCCAGTCAGTCAGGTGCCAACCGACCTTGGCTGTTGGCGGTTGGCTGGTTGTTGATATGTTAAACTTTTATGTTATTTTTATACTGCGGTTTTGAATAAACATCATTTTATATACGATGCACTCGTTATTGCAACTGCGGAATAATTGTATAGGTATTTAGATTCGTTCGAAGTAAAAACTTAGTTATTATCATATCATTGAAACACTGAAGATCTGTACCTATATCTCCTCATTTGATATTTTGTTCTCCCCTTGATAAATCATCAGTAACATCAATTGCAAGCTCTTATATCGGTAAAGAGCGAAGTCCAGTTAATAACTTGACGTCATTTTATTAGTTAACTAATGTTTATGACTGTACATTAATTCTAAACACATTCTGTACATGAATGACGTTAATTGCTATGTAATGAGATATATATACATGTTATATACATATGTCCCACTGTCCTGTCTGGTGTATATTGGTTAAAAGTCATGCGGGCTGTTTCATTTCCAGTGACAGTATGATAGATGCGTTTTATCATATAAAAGTACGCTTTAAATTTATGAGCAAAATCTATTTGAATATCATTTCTTAGGTAGGAATAATTTTCTACTTAATATAGTGTTTTTGCTGTTAAATTAACGACGTAAAAAGATATCATTGATGTAATTTGTGTTTGATCAACGTACTCGCCGACCAGTGCTAGCCGGCTTGGCGCTAGTTCGCTGATTAAACATGTAATGTAGATTCCAAGTGACAATTACGTTAGCATCTGATTATCATATTATTATTACGATGTAAATTTTATTTTTTACTTCCATACCTAATGATTATTTTGCCGTACTGAGCTGTGAAACTGCACCAGCGTCAAACATGCTCGTATGATAAGCCGTAATTATGTATGTAACAATAATATTCGTTGTTATAACAAGACTTGTTGAACTGTGCTATGTAAATAAAACGAGATATCTCAAGTCAGCTGTTCAGGCCTGACACCGCGACCGGTCTGAACCCGCTCGCTGAATGATACAATTATATTAAAACATTCCGTTACAGCACAATGAGTTTCAATAGTTTAAACGGTGATATCGATAAATGTAAGGCGGATGGAGTACGAGGGGAAAGTCATGGAAAATAAGTGTGAGGTATGGGGAGGCGCGGGGTGAATGGCGGGTAGGCTTTGTTCCTGACATTCCTGGCCTGGGAACCGGGCTGGAGCCCCCCTCCGCCCTCCCCGGCCTCCTCCCCCGGGCCCCGCGCCCCTCGCATTCCAGCCCTCACTTTCATTGTTACCGTCGGCGCGGGAGGTCGTTGTATAATAGAACCAGTCGCCAGTTGAGATGTGGTCCAATAAACACGTTTGTAAATGACGTTTAGGGAAAATGGGCCAATTGGTAATATCGATAAAACATCAATTGAATGCTTCAGGGTTTATAAACACGAATACCTCTCGGTGTATTGGAAGCCTAATTTTATTTAGATCGGTTTATGGAATTTAACGATTCTTTTCCTAATAATTCGTACGAATAATGGTACTTTTTATATGATGACGAACTCTACTATATAAGTAAAGATATGTAATAAAAGATTTATTTTAAGAATTATTATGTCAAATAATAATTTGAATCACGTAACCTATAAAGCCACAGGAGTCCTCTTAATATAATTTATGTAATACACATTATGAATAGTTTATCAAGTAACAGAAACATCGAAATATTTCTATATACAACTATAAACAAAACAGTGGTTATTATAAGAGCGGAGCTAACTTTTTATTAATTTCGGATGTTCGGAATGCCATTGTGCCCGCCCCTACCTGCGCCCGCGCAGGTATCGCCGCACCAAATTGTTTATACTCCTTGACAAATAGTTATGACTTGCAAAGCCTTATCTTCAAGGGTGGTAATAACTTTATCTCAAGGTATCTCAGAATCTTACACGTTTAGCGCACATATTACACGGAGCTTTTTTAAAACTGACTATTGTGAAGCGTCTGTGTTTAAATTTTTAACGATAAGCAGTGTACAAAATGACACAGAATGCAAAACAAATAATACCAACTTTGTTGAGATTTTGTATAAAGTAATCTTTGCGTTTATGTATAGTGGTTGTTCGAGATTTTTTTTTATATCAAAATTTGAATTTGAAAATTTATTTAAAAGGAAAAAGTATATATACAAAGTCCTTTTTTATTAGCGGCTAAAGAAGAGATCTCTATAAAACTGTATGATAAAATACATTTTAAATATAGGAAATGTTTTCTGCGATTTAAAATAAACCGTAGCGCTTTCTGGATTGATTTGTCATGTTTTTTGTCGTTGCTCTGTTGGCTTCGATTACGTAACAGATATAAAATGGCGACACGGGAGGAAGAGTGGCGCTTTGACTTTCACAGAGTATACATTAAAAAAAAATCTTTGCTTAAACTTAAATTAGCTGTGATTATACTCAATTTATAAAGAGATAAATTTGAATTATTTTTTTTTCAATGCAAATAAATTTCGTCTCGTTTTTTTAAGTTCATTTCTGTAGGTATTGTTCTCAAACGCATTAAGAATGACCTGTCATTGTATTCAATTCTTTTTATCTTTACATAATATTTCATTCATACTGACATATATGTATGAATATGATATTTAGTAATCATTATTTTAAATTATAGCTACTTTTATTATGTATATATTTAATTAAGAATGTAATTAACAAATATGTAATGTAAAATCATTAATATGTGTTTTTTGTTAGGTTAGAAGGCATTTTTTGATAATGAAGTTAGCCTTGGACGGTGCGACAGTTTGTCTATGGCTATTGTTTCTTTTATTCAGTGTTCATTTTAAATCATTTAGCTAAATTGATACTTTTGATGTTAAATAATTTATTACTGATAATAAAAAAATGTAATACCTTAGAATCTTTTCTATATATTACCTTCACTCCAAAAAGATTGAACGTAAAAATTATACTTAAAATCTTAATTAAATGTTAAATAATTTAGTTATTTATTGGCTTTAACATTGGCCCCCATTAATTTATCCGACCTCAATAAAACTTCACTCCATGTCAAAATCCTAACGAATTCAAAAGTAATTATTATAATAGCTCCTACTACTGAACTCGGTTCAAATTTAACCATTGTTATTCCAAGGTTAATTGCATTTCCTCATGTTTATTTCAATGTACGTAAAAATTTAATACAACTTTATAAGAAGTACTGCGTAAAATACAAGCAGATTAAAAAGGATTATACTCTTAATGTTTCAGTTAATACTTTTTACTATAATAAAGATAATAATAGAATACTTATGTTCGTCGTAACTAGTTACGTCTTTAGAATTTTTTGTCCAAATTGTATAGAATAAGAATATTCTGTACCACATTTAAGTTAACAAATTTCGTAGCTACGTCATTAGGAGTCCTAAGATCCAGCGAATGGTGGCATTAAGGAAAGATTCAAATGCTGTTAATTCCGGACTCCATTAGACTGAACTGCTCTAGTGAGGACTGATCGCTAATTTCGTACAATTTTCATTCCTTTATATCAACTACAATTGAACTGATTCGTAGCCATTATAACCATTATTTTGCGAAGCTTTCGGCTCTATAATTTAAAAACTTTTGTTTCTCCTCCGAGCTTTTATAGAAGATAACTTTTAAGTGCTACTTCGATTTCAGGCTAAGTAATTACTCTTCTATTTAGGCGTTTACATTGGGAACTTTTAAAAAAAGCTCTTGGGATTTAAGAAAACTCTCTACTTTCGTTAATAATATATGAGATGTGGGTAGAATTTATTCTATATAACATTTTGTAGGAATGTTTTTAAATTAAAAACAGAAGACTGATTTAGGTATTCAGTTTTTCTTCCAAAACTGCTTAAGTAATTGTTACGAAATTTTGCATATAAGATATTTGTGTAAGAAACGTAAAATCCATTAAAAAAGTTCTTACCATTATAATAATATTAACAGGAGAGAGTCTCTCAGAAGTCCGGTAAAATTTCATCACATAATTCAATGAACGTTCTATTAAAGAATTAATTAGTTAAGATAAGGTCGGACCAATTATCCCAGCATCCATTACATTTGACCCGCCAAAGACAGGGATCAGTTGTTGCTACACATACAAAAATATATTTTAACATATTTTTATTTGAATTCTTTGAAAAGTAAGGTATTATTTTTCACAGCTTCTTTTTTATTGCATTGGATAATAAAATTCAATTTGGATTTAGTTTTAAAAAACATTCCGTTCGTTAAATAATATTTGTTTATTTGTGATTATAAAACGTATGTTAGAAAAGAATTAATCAATAATTCTATCCAGGCAATGTGCAAATTGTTAGAATTTTTTATTATCTCCTTCATTTAAGTTTAGATGATAATTGAATCATTTCTTATATTTTAATGAAAAAAGAGATCAAAATATTTTTGTTGATTGATATGATCCTAATAAATTAAGTTTAATAAATTATT